TTGGAGAGGTGCTTATTGTGGTTGCGAGTGGATGGGCATCACGAGAGCGGGAGTGTTAGTAGTGTATTTGTTAGGCGGATGGGGAGAGGGGAGGTGACAATGAGGGGGGGGATGTGATCGAGGAGGAGGGAGAAAAGGCTAGGCGGACATATTGCTCGTTGTGATATCAGTGATCGTGCCGAGGAGCTTGACTAGAGAGTTGTGAGATGGGTGGGGGGTAAGAAGGGGTAGAAGGTGTGAGGTGATTGTAGGGGATGGGGCGGGGGGCTGGAAGTGAGAGTGGAGGTGGGTTTGGGGGCCGAGCATTGGAGGGGGGGCGACGGGGATGGGGTAGTGAGAGAGGGGTTTGGGGGTTGTTGGGGGGGAGGGTGACTGAGACGCGAGGTTAGTGAAGTTAGGGTTGGGGGGAAGGTGGAGGGAAGGATGGGAGGAAGGTGGAGGGGGAATGGTGAGAAGAGCAGTGAGAGATGGGCAAAAGAGTGGTGGATACGCGTCAAGGGGAGGCTGGGGGTGAGATGTCAACTCAGGCCGTTCATGTGATGTTCCTGGGGATCTACTTGGCGGAAACTCCTGAGCTCCGGGTCTGTTTAGTAGTCGCTGGTGTGTACTGCAGACGTGTCACGATGGCGCAACTCCCTTCGAAGTCCTGGGGAATTCAAGTCGCTGGCCAGCATTCTCGGGCCCGTTGTCTTCCCGTGAAGGCTACTTCTCGTGATGGTGCTCACAGGGCGCTTCAGGGAGCAGGCTGGCTTCAGATCGGTGGAGGGGAAGATCTGCTGCGGTGATGCTGCGCTCCTCTTGGTGGTGACGCGCGCACCGGGCGCGCACTTGAACAGGGCGTTTACACTCTCTCGTGGCGATGGTGGGTGTTGCCGCCCTACTCTGAAATTTCAAATTTGGGCGAGCGAGCCGCACGGGCGGCTGGGCGGGGGGATGGTGAGGAGAGCGGGTTTCGGTTGGCGTCAGCCCGTAGGCTGTGGCTGGGGGCTAGTGCGGAATGACGCAGCGCTGGTTTTCTCGTGCTAACGGACAGCGTGGGCGCATTGATTTTACGTGGTTTAAGGACGTTTAGACTTTATTTGTTGTACTTCATTGGGAATTATACATCGTGTGTCAGTTCGTTGTTTTTCGGTACTCATGTGCGTGATCATTTACTGCTTCCGTTCATGATTGGTTGTGACTCAAGGATCTATTGCATTGTCTGTTGATGACTAAGTTTTGGTGAGTGGGATCATTGCAGAGATCTGTTGTTGCTGTTGTGTTTATTGGATCGTTGACAGTTGAACGACGCATAATTCTTAAAACACCAGTCCATTTCCCAGCTATTATGTTCCGACACGCCGGTTAACCATCTGCGAAATCGCAGGTCTGGCCTACCAGGCGGAATGGGTGTGCAAATCACGTGCTGCACCTGTTCGGCAAGACATGGAGTGCAGCAGACCTCTGCATTTGGAAAAAGAGGTTTTCATGGATTGGAAATAAAAACAGAAGAAAAAAGAAGAAAAAAAGGAAAAGGTTTAAGGGGCTCAACTCTTTCTGCAGGTCATCTCTGAGGATGCCGAATGGTTGCTTATGAGATGTTGAGCTACATTCTAAACATGGTTTCAAGATGGTAGACAGACAGATGTTAAGGAACTCACTGGTTTGTCAGGAGATGTTGCACTGTGTAAATAATTTAGACTGATTTTCTGTGAGAGATGTCTTCATTTCACCGCTTTTCATTTCCCAGGGTTCTCATTGTTGAAGTGTGAACAGTACTTTTGCTTTGCCAGTGCATGGCACTGGAACTACTTCAGGCGAGAACCTTAGTCTCTCGTTTCCTGTGTCTTCCGCCCGTTGCTGCTCTTGTCACTGTGTTAAATAGGATAATGAATGCTTAATGTCATTTTTGTGTTGTCAGTGTGCAGGAGCGTACACGCCGTATGCCAACGAGATTAACGAGTGCTGCAGTTGATTGCATCTTGACAATTACGAGGGCAGTTTCAGGGGGGGTTGAGTTCATAGATCAGAAATCTCCAGAAGCACCACGATCTCATTCAACTCAGAGGAGGGCATCCAAGTTGATTTCGGAGCTTGGCAACGAAGGGCACGATGCAGGAAAATTGTTATGGCATTATTTAAAAGATCTGTGCTCATTGGTGAAGGAACTCTTGGAGGTGAGGTACTTGGATCATCTTCACGTCATCTCAAGCTTGGTGGCACTCTCCCCGTTCTGAGCAGTGAACAAGTGAGCTGCCACTATGCACATGGAAAAATGGAGAAACTTTACTGTGCATCATCTAACCGTGAGCTGCCATGCACAGTACAATGCGAATGATCTCAAGAAATGCTTGTCGGTGTCGGAATGTGGATGTCTTTTCAGTGGTCCCTAGTGTTGCATACTGTAACGTGCAGACCAGAACAAGAACCGACCTTTCAATACAAAGTATAAGATAGCACAACGGAAGACTTAGATACCAGTGATCCGAACAATCAATGTTGCAATGCAGCCCTGAACATACATCATCATCATCGCTACATGGTGTGAATAAGTCTGGCGCTTCACACAGGAAGACTGCGCCAGCCCATACCATACACAGATGAAGAGGAAGGGGATAGACGAAGAGGAGGGAGAAGATGGGAATGTCGTCAACACCAAGTCTTCGGCACAGGCCCAAATAGTCCCTCGTCGAAATG